AAAGCATAAAGATGAATCCTTACCTGACACCGTGTATAAAAATTCAATGAATTATAGTCCAAAATAAAGACCTGAAACTCTAAAACTCCTAGAAGAAAATGAGAAAACCTTCATGACATTGGATTCGGCAGTGATGTCTTGCATATGACACCAAAAGCACAGGCAGCAAAGGCAAAAGTAGACAAATAGGACTGTACCAAACCTAAAACATCTGGCCAGCAATGGGAGTGATCATTGCAGAAGGGGAAGGATACCTGCAAGCCGTGTATGTGATAAGAGGTTAACATCCAGAATATATAAAGAACTCCTACAACTCAACAACAGCAACAATACAAATCAAATTTAAAAATGGAGGAAGGAGTGGATGTTTCTCAGAAAAAGATATGCAAATGGCAACAAGCATATGGTAATATGAACAATGTTACTAGTCATTAGGAAAATGCAAATCAAAGCCACAATGAGATATTACCTCACACCTGTTAGGATGGACACTATCAAATAAACAGGAAATAACCAGTATTGACAAGAATGTGGTGAAATTGGGACCTTTGTGCCTTGTTTGCGGGAATGTAAAATGGTGAGGCCACTCTGGAAAACAGTGTGGAGGGTCCTCAAAAAATTAAAAATAAAATTTACCTTATAACCCAATAATCTCACTTCTGGGTATATATCCAAAAGATTTAAAAACAGGATCTTTGACTGTTAAATTCAGCTGATTAAAAAAACAATGAACAAATAAACCATACCAAAAAAAACCCAGTATCTTGAGATATTTGCACACTCATGTTCATTACAGCACTAGTCACGATAACCGAGAGTTAGAAGCAACCTGAGTGCCCATCAACGGATTAATGGGTAAAAAAAAATATGACATATGCATACAATGGAGTATTATTCAGCCTAAAAAAAGAAAATTCTGTCATGATGAACCTTAAGGACACCATGCTAAGTGAAATAAGCCAGTCACAGAAAGTCAAATACTGCACGTTTTCACTTATGTAAGGTGTCCAAAGTAATCAATCTCTTAGTAGGATGGTGGCTGCCGAGGGATGAAAGGAGGGTGAAAGGGGGAGCTGCTGTTCAGTGTGTACACAGTTTCAGTTTTACAAGATGAAAAAGTGCTAGAGCTCTGCTGAGTGGCAGTGTGCAGACGGCCAACACTGCTATACTGTGCACTTAAAAATGATGAAGGTGTTAAATGTTATGTTCTTTTGACCACATGCGCACAAAAGTAAGTCATGAATAAAAAGGGAAAGAAAGCAACACCTAAATTGCGAGGCAACGGGAAAATAAATGAGGATTCAAGCACATGTTGGATGAAAAAGTTGAAATCCTAGAGAAGCGCACTGCAATAAGAAAGCAAGGCATTGTCCACGTGGGGCCGGGGTAGGTGCAGCCCATCACAGCGGCGCAGCACAAGATGTGAAGCTGGGGTTCTGGATTCTAGTTCCACCTGCTGTGGACCTGCAGGGGGGACAGTTACCTCTGGGCATCAGTAGCCTCAGGCGTATATTAAGAAAGGTGACCTCTGCCATGTGAGACCCAGCTGGAAGAGAGAGGGGGCTTCTTAGCTGGGATAGAATCTTAGGCAGAATCACAGTGGGTTTTGAGACCTGAGGAGTGGTGGAGAGGGGGCTGGAGGTGAGGGATGGGCAGCTTGGAGAAGGGCACAGAAGGAGGCGATAGGAATGGAGATCTGGCCAGTGGGGCAAAGGCCTCCTGGGGAGGGGCCGAGAAACAAGGTTGCTGAGACATGAATTCAGGCTGGTTAGGGAAGTGCCTTCTAATGCTGTTCTGAGCATGCTCAGTGGCCTCCATCCTTCTTGAATCTGTATAAAGCAGCCAGTCTCTGAAAATAGAGACCACTCCATGGGGCCTCTGGGAGCCCCTCTAAGAGGGGAGAGGTGCTTGGTGAGACCAAACTCTGTTGGACTTGGGAAGAGAGTTAATTTCCCCACCCAGTTCATGGCGCTGTAATCTCATTGGTCCTCAGAAGTTCCCCCTTGTTTGGTTTGTTGCCTTTTATCCTCGTTTCTTACTGTTTTCCCCTCCCCTTCTCCCATGGGCTAATTAATAACATATTATTAATATGTGTTTGAAGTATGTGCTATTTGTGTGTATTCTTATAAAGCAGGGTGGTTTGGAAGGTATGTGTTTTTAATGTACATAGATGACAGCAGTCTAGAGCAGCAGTTGGCAAACTCTCTGTAAAGGGCCAGAGAGTAACGATTTTAGGCTTTATGGGCCATATGGACTCTGTTGCACCTACTCAGCTGTGTCATTGTGGCACAAAAGCAGCCAATGACATATGCAGATGAGTGAGCGTGGCTATGTGCAAATAAAACTTTATTTACGGACACTGAAATTTGAATGCCATATAATGTTTATACCTCACAAAATATTCTCTTGATTTGTTTTTTATTCAACTATTTAAAACCACTTGTAGTTTGTGGGCCATGCAAAAACATGGTGGGCAGATTTGGCTACTGGGCTGCAATTGTGTCATTCCTCATCTAGCCCCTTGCTGCTCAGTATGTCCTGTGGACCCGCAGCACAGGCATCACTAAGAAAGCCTGTTAGAAATGCGGATCCCAGCCTCATCCCAGGCCTGCCAGGTCAGCAGCTGCGTTCTAACGAGACCTCTGGCAATTGTGTACACACTGATGTTTGGGAAGCACTGGGCTACGTTTCTTTTTCTTTTTTTTAATCCTTTCTCATTTAGCACTCTTCTGAAGAATGAACCATTTTCCTAGATTTAATCTATTTCTTATAACTGCAGCACAGTATTTCTGTATTCACTTTTCCACCAAAAAAAAAAAAAAAAAAAGATATAGAGACATTAGAAAGATTAGTGGTTGCCAAGGGTTAGAGACAATGCAGGAGAAAGATGAATAGGCAGGGCCGGGCGTGGTGGCTCACGCCTGTAATCCCAGCACTTTGGGAGTCCAAGGCAGGTGGATCATGAGGTCAAGTGGTCAAGACCATCCTGGCCAACATGGTGAAACCCCATCTCTACTAAAAAATGCAAAAATTAGCTGGGCGTGGTGGTGCAAGCCTGTAGGCCCAGCTACTCAGGAGGCTGAGGCAGGAAAATCGCTTGAACCCGGGAGGCAGAGGTTGCGGTGAGCTGAGATTGTGCCATTGCACTCCAGCCTGGTGAAAAAAAAAAACCCACTAAAAAAAAAAAAAAAAAAAAAAAGGGGAAAGAAAGAAAGATGAATAGGCAGAGCATGGATGGTTTTATGAGGTAAAAATACTGTATGCTGCTCCGATGATAGATACATGTCATTTTACATTTGTCTAAACCCATAGAATGCCTGTCACCGTGAGTGAACCTTAATGTAAACTGTGAGCTTTGGTCAATAATAATGTGTCAATAATTGGCTTATCAATTATAATAAATACAAGATATAAATTATAGGCGAGCTGAGGGAGGAGAGAAGAGGATATGTGGGAACTCGGCATGTTCCAATTTTTCTTTTTCTCTTTTTTTTTTGAGAGTCTCCCTCTGTCACTGAGGCTAGAGTGCAGTGGTGTGATCTTAGCTCACTGCAACCTCCGCCTCCCAGGTTCTCCTGGGGAGAGCAGTTCTTCTGCCCCAGCCTCCCAAAATGCTGGGATTACAGGCGTGAGCCACCACACCCAATCAATTTTTCTGTAAAGCTAAAATTGCTCTAAAAAACAGTCAATTGACAACAACAACAACAAAAAAGAGGGCAAAGGAACATGTCCCAGAAGCTCCCAAATTCAGCACAATTTGAACCTTTTGAAGCCAGCTCATGTTTTCTCTTAAAAATATATTCAAGCCGGGCGCGGTGGCTCACGCCTGTAATCCCAGCACTTTGGGAGGCCGAGGCGGGTGGATCACGAGGTCAAGAGATCGAGACCATCCTGGTCAACATAGTGAAACCCCGTCTCTACTAAAAAAAATACAAAAAATCAGCTGGGCATGGTGGTGCGTGCCTGTAATCCCAGCTACTCAGGAGGCTGAGGCAGAATTGCCTGAACCCAGGAGGCGGAGGTTGCGGTGAGCCGAGATCGCGCCATTGCACTCCAGCCTGGGTAACAAGAGCGAAACTCCATCTCAAACAAGAGCGAAAATCCATCTAAAAAAAAATATATATATATATATATATATATTCAAATTTGTGTTTGCCATATCGTTTTGCCTTAATGTGACAATCAAATTTTAAATTTCTTTCGACTTAAAGTTCACCTCCCTTCCCCCAGTTAAAAAAATGGCGTAAAGTGAACCAGTGATATCTGTCACTGATGCCTGCCCTCCTCTGCCACAGTTGAAAACTGCAGTCCTAGGCCAACTCCTACCTTCCAGATGGTGAGGCCAAGGGCCTCCTGCACTCTTGCTCCACTAGCCCCTGGGCCGTCTTGGTGAGGGAGGGAGGGAAGGGAGACGTTGCTGGCACATTTAGGGCTGGGTCTCTCAGTGCCTACCCGCCCTGAGTAATAGCTCATCTTTGACATACTCTGCCCAAGTGGGGAGGCCTGGCCAGGAGCAATAACTCTATCCTGCCAGGGCCCTTCTGTCAGAGATGGAGGGAAGGACCTGGCTTGGTCTCCAGGGGCACCAGTGGGTCTGCCAAGCTGGCGTGAGGCTGCGCTCTCCATCCCGCTCCTTTCCTGGGGGAGCTGAGGAGTATGACACCTTCCTATACCTGTCATTCTCCCCACCTCAAGTGTGTATGTGTGCTCGTCTCCTGATGGATGTAGACAAAGAAGGAGATTCTGCAATGGTGGAGTCAGGCGCACTAGGTGGTGGGTGGTGGGACCCTCTGGTAAGCTGTACATCTCCCGTCGAAAGCAGACCAGCTTGCCTGGGGAAAAGGCTGCATGAAACGTGCACAGCCAGACTCACCTCCGTGGAGGGCTTGATATTCCTAAACCTGTTTTCAGAGGCCAGGTGGGCAACTGTCTATCTCTGCAGCCGTGAGTTCACTGGCCTTGACCATTGGACTCTACTAAGTCTGGTGCAGCTGGCGGCCATGGGGGCAAAGGCTAATTGGGTAGAACAGATGTGTTGAAGGTCACCTGTTCTCATGTGTTTCCTGGACTGATCATTATGATTTAAGGCTCTCCCAAATTTTCTTCTGTGTGAAAGAAGGTCTGATAACCCAGGAATTTCAGAATGAAGAATGGACACGACAAAGGAATATAGATTCCTAAAGGGCGTGTATGTCTGCCAGGGCCCTTTCGGTTTCATAAAATCAGGGAGACTTGCTGGGTGGGAGATCAGACCTCTCCCTTGATGAAGAGGTGCACAGTCTTACCTCCTGCACTCAGAAGCAGTTAAACATCCAGAGGACAAGTGGACTGAGGGAATGACAGACTCCAGAAAGCAACCTGACCAAATGGGAGAGGCCCTCCAGCGCAGTGACTCTCAGCACGAGGGCATGGCTTCTCACACCCGCCAGCCCTGGGGCAAATGTGTGGCATCTTTGGTGGAGGGAAGCATTTCATAATCCTCCTTGTTTGATTTTTATTTCATTTCTTTTGAGATTGACATGAAAGAGTAGCTGTGTGACTTTTGATATGTGCACAGTTGTACAACCACACCTGAACCTTTCTGTGTGATGTCCCGCCCTCCTCCCACCTTCCTCCCTGGTGCCTAAAGGTAGAAGGACAGAGGTGGAGCTCTCCCAGGTAGAGCCGGTTCTCAGGCTCTGTGCAGTCCCTTCAGGGGACCTGTGGTAAAGTAGAGTCGGCACAAATCAAGGCTTGTACATGTAAGATTTCATCTTGACCTCAAACTGGGCTGTGGACCTGTGGCAGTGCTAGGAGGCTCTGTAGCAGAAAGGAAGCCTAGACCTGCCTTTCAGCCAGGGTTCCTGCAGCTTTGCAGAATGTGCTTTTGAACATAGCCGTTCACTGCTGTAAGCCTCAGTTTCCCTCCCTAAAATAGAGATGGTCATCTCTCTATCATGCAACTATGTAGCTAAATGAGATGCGAGCAATGTAACGTGATGTCTTATACAAATATGGTGCTGGTTAGAGGTAAGAGGTTTACTGTCATTCATAAGCGTTTCTCTCCCACACAGAAGCAGCTGTTTTTATAGAGACTCTGGCCTCTTGCTCACTGCCCTCTCATCGTCTTTCCTGTTGCTTCTTTCCTATAAGCCTTTATCTCAGTTCTATTCCTTAGGAGATAGCATTCATTTTTTTCTTCTCCTCTTTGCCTTTTATACCCCCATGCTTCACTAAAACAGAAGGAAATCGTCTTTGTCTGTTTCCTGTTGCTATGACGGAACACCCGAGACTGGGTAATCTATTAAGAAAACCATTGTTTCTTCCAGTTTTGGAGGCGGGGAAGCCCAAGGTCAGGTGGTCACAGCTGATGAGGGCTTTCTTGCTGCTGGGGACCCTCGGCAAAGTTTTGAGGCGGTGCAGGGCGTCACATAGCAAGGGGGCTCACAAGAGACAGCAAGACTGGCTTTTAGAACAGTCTCCCTCTTGTGATAACAAACCTACTCCCTCAATAACTCATTAATCCATGAGTGGATTAATCCATTTATGAGAGCAGTGACCTCATGACCCAATCACCTCCCAGAGGTCCCACCTCAACACGGCTGCATTGAGGACCAAGTTTCCAACATAAAATTTGGGGGCCGCATTCAAATCACAGCAGAAACCAACATGTGAAATGGAAAAGTGTTTAAAGAAGTAAGTAAATGTGGGAGCCAGGTTAGCATGTGATCACAGATAATGCCGTCCAGGCCTGGGGACAGAGGTGGCCCTGGAATGTCACCAGATCTAATCCCCTCGCTCTGAGCGTCTTCTTTCACGCATTTGTCTGGTGTTCTTGAAGGCTCTGTTTGGCTGGGGCTGCTGCTGTGGTACCAGTGACCCAGGACCATGATCCAAGTATGTTTCACCGATTCTGGGGGAAGGTCTGTGTTCTTTGTGAGTCCTGAGAAGGTCTTTGATTGGGGCATCAGCATCCAGTATTCCTCTTAAGTCCCTGGTGCGTGGAGCAGCCCATGAGAAAGAGGGAAGAAGACAGGGCTTCTTAAACCTGAGCTGCCTGGGGGCCTGGGAAGACGCCTTGCTGGGCTCCTTCCAGAAATGCTGATTCAGCGGATTTGGGTGTGGCCTGAAAGTCAGCATTCCTCACGTGCTCCTGGGGGATCCTGATCCTGCTGGCCTGGGACCAGACCACACCGATGGAGAAGCCACGGCTACAAGGCAGAGATTGGCAGATTACAGCCCAGCAGCCAAGTCCAGCCAGCTGCCTGTTGTAAAAAAATGTTAGTGAACACAGTTGCTCCCATTCATTTACATATTGTCCATGCTGCTTTCATGTTACAGTGTCAGCATAGAGTAGCTGTGGCAGAGACCATGTGGCCCACAAAGCCAAAAATATTCACTATTTGGCCTTTTACAGTAAGAGCATGCCAGCCTCTGCTCTTGAGGCTCCTCAGCACCCTGAGCCCGGCGGTTCTAAAGGCATGGGAAACCTTCCACTCCTTTCTTCCACTGACTGAGTCCCTAGGACCATTACTGCTAAGAAACCAGCTCTGCTAAGCATTAAATCATGTTCTGTGGGAGAAAAAACAGGAAACTAGGACAGATGTGGTGGGTCACACCTGTAATCCCAGCACTTTGGGAGGCTGAGGCAGGTGGATCACGAAGTCTGAAATTTGAGACAAGCCTGGCCAGCATGGTGAAACCCCATCTCTACTAAAAATACAAAATATTAGCCAGGCATGGTGGTGCATGCCTGTAGTCTCAGCTACTCTGGAGGCAGAGGAAGGAGAATTGCTTCAACCCTGGAGGTGAAGGTTGCCGTGAGCTAAGATCACACCACTGCCCTCCAGCCTGAGCAACAGAGCGAGACTCCATCTCAAAAAAAAAAAAAAAAAAAAAAAAAAAAAGGAAAAACATGACAGTGATATTACTGCTTTTACCTCTATCTTTACAGAACACCTTAAGACCCTGTTGCAACCTAGGTGATGCTGTACCCATCTTGTGGAGGTACAAACCGAGGTTCAGAGAAATAGTTATGCCTGTGGTCACACGGCAAATTCGTAACAAACCTGGGTGTCCCAGGCTTTGTACCTAACACACCACCTATTGTATATAAGGCAAAATTGGATGGCACTTGGTATATTAGCCATCTAATTCTGTGTAACAAATTATCCTAAAATTTTCTTTTCTTTTTTACCATGCCTAACTGAGGTGCCATGACAATTTACCCTCAAATGTAATGGCCTAAAGCAGTAGTACACCTTTATTATCACTCACAGTGTCTGTACATAAGGAATTCAGAACCGACTTGGCCGAGCAGGTCTGGCCCAGGTGTTTTTCTGAGGTTCCATCAGATGTGAGCCAGAGCTGCAGTTATTTAAAGTTTAACTGGGGCTGGAGAATCCACTTCCGAGGATTCAGCTTGGAGAATCAGCTTCACTCACGTGGCTGGCAAGCTGGTGCCGGCTGTTGGTGGGAAACTTCCGTTCTGTTCCATGTTGACCTCCCTGCAAGGCTGCTTGAGTGGCCTCACAACATGGCTGCCAGCTTCCCTGGAGGAAGTGACCCAAGAGTGAGACAGTGGGGGGAGGCTATCTCCTTTTTATGACACAGCCTCCAAAGTCACATAGCATCATTTTTAACACATTCTGCTCATCAAAACCAAGTCACTAAGTCCCACTTACTTTGCATCAAAGAATTTGTGGGCATATTTTAAAGTCAGCCCAATAGGCTGATTTCCATTCCATTGCCTGCTGGGAAAATCAGGATCTGGTGGTGGTGTCACATTGCTGGTCTTTAGCTGATCATAGAATATAAGGCTAAAGTCCTAAGGGTCATTACAGAAATGCAAATTAAAGCCACATTGAGATACCATCTCACACCAGTTAGAATGTTGATCATTAAAAAATCTGGAGACAACAGATGCTGGAGAGGATGTGAAGAAGAACGCTTTTACACTGTTGGTAGGAGTGTAAATTAGTTCAACCATTGTGGAAGACAGTGTGGTGATTCCTTAAGGATCTAGAAATAGAAATTCCATTTGGCCCAGTAATCCCATTACTTGGGTATATGCAGGGCCCATCCCCACAGGGTGTAGTGTGTGTTCGTTTGTGTGCAGAGACGATAGATCGTAGAAAAGAAAGAGACAAGGACGCAGAGATAAGAGAAGAATTCAGCTGGGCTCAGGGGACCACTGCTACCAAGGGGCGGAGTCCAGCAGTGGCCCTGAAAGCCTGGACACGCTGATAATTATTGTATACAAGGCAAGGGGGCAGGGTCAGGAGAGTGATTGGTAGGGATCAAGGAAATCACATTCTTACAATACGGGGGGGCCACATGGGTACAGTTCAGGGGGTCACGTGGGTACAGTACAGAGGGCCTCTCCCTCTCAGGTAGCCACTGCAAGGAGGGGAGGCACATACGTCAGTATCTTTCTATGTACTTATCAGAGAGATCAACGGCTTTTAGGATTCCTCCATTCTCACAGCTTCTAAGAATTTACAAGGGAGCATCGAGTGGGAAAGTAAAACAGGAAGGTGGATGAGGATGGTGACCGTCGGAGCACAGCACCATGGAGAGGTGTTTAAACCCCTGGATGTCTGTGGGCCAGCCTGGCTAGTGTCAGATCTTCCTCAAGAGCCGGCAAAGCAGAGTTTTCTCTGAACTCCCCAGTGAGAGGGAAACTCCCCCTCACAGCTAAGTAACGGGCACCTCCCCAGACACTGGTGTTATGGCAAGGCCTGCCTGCTAGGTAACCGGTGCCTTCCCAGGCGCTGGTGTTACTGCCAGGCATTTACTCTCACCTCCTGATCACTTTTCACAATGTCCCTTCAGTTCCGAATTATATTTCACCCGATTATGTCTATACTCTAAAACTAAAATGTTCCTATAATAAAGCAAAGATTAATAGAGAATAATGATGTCATAAGATTGATTATCTAATTGATTCTGTGATTGAATCTAATATCTATTTGGTGTCATTTCTATAAGTAATCGGTAAATATATCATTCCTATAATCAAGTAATCAGTAAATTATTTAGTATCATTGCTATAACTAAGTAATCCGTTATTTATCATGCTGGGACAGATTGTGCCTTCAGTCTCTTGCCATGGCACCTGGGTAACTTTCTTCCCACAGGTATATACCCAAAGGATTATAAATCGTTCTGTTATGAAGACACATGCACACGTTTGTTTATTGTGGCACTGTTCACAATAGCAAAGACTTGGAACCAACCCAAACGCCCATCAAGGGTAGACTGGATAAAGAAAATGTGGCACATATACACCATGGAATACTGTGCAGCCATAAAAAAGGATGAGTTCATGTCCTTTGCAGGGACATGGATGAATCTGGAAACCATCATTTTCAGCAAACTAGCATAAGAACAGAAAACCAAACACCATATGTTCTCACTCATAAGTGGGTGTTGAACAATGAGAACACGTGGACACAGGGAGGGGAACATCACACACTGGAGTCTGTTGGGGGGTGGGGGGATTGAGGAGGGAGAGCATTAGGAGAAATACCTAATGTAGGTAACGGGGGGATGGAGGCAGCAAACCACTGTGGCACGTGTATACCTATGTAACAATCCTGCATGATATGCACATGTACCCCAGAACTTAAAGTATAGTAAAATAAATTTAATTAAAAAAATATAATTCACAAATTACTAACAATATCTAGGCCTCAAGTTTTGTTCTAATCTGCAGTAGAGTATCCAAAGGAGTCCTATGGTGGGACTTCAGAAAAGGCCAGAGAGGGCCAGGAGATGCCGATTTTCATGCTGTTTGAAAATAGACAACCATATGGTTCAGAATCCTCCGGGGCAATTCAGACATGCTTCTCCTAAGAGCCAGCTCTCCATTCCCTATTACAAACTACCTTTCTAGCCCAGAGGCCAAGTGCCTTGCTGGAGAAAGCAGCAAGACCTGAAGCCCTTCAGTTGTACTGCTTGAGGCTCCACACAGTTCCCCGTTAAAGTATGAAACACACTTCAGTAAGAACTCTGCAGGGGTGTGAGGAGGAGGCTGTGAATCTGTATTAAGTTTGCCCTTCCAAGTCTTTATTAGTTCATCTTTATCTCAGCCAGCTGACCGCGTTTCTTGTCAGATCTGTTTCCAGGCAACGTCTGGTACTAATGGGTGAGAGTTGAGCTTATTCTTCCGTGCCCTGCCACCTCTGTGCAATGCGTTTTAAGTGTAGGAACTCTTCCAGGAGGATAGTAAACTCTGATCTCCGTCCATTGAACAGGGTCTGGTGGTTTTGTCTTTTATAAGCAGTGTTTGGATACCCTCTAGTGGATAAGTGAAGATGGTCGCCTTGCTTGCTAAACAGAAGGGCTCCTAACCTGGAATAGGAGTGGAGATGACCGATTTAAAGAGTCCCTTTGATTCTGGAAAGCAAATGTAGAAAGAGGTCAGCTTGAGGATAATGTAAGTCCTTGATGGTCCAGGAAAGAGGTACACTCTTTCGTTGTATGATCTTCTTTGGCTTGATATATTAATATCCTGATTTATTTGAAACACAGGTAACAAAAACATAAGTACACATATATGTGGTGGTAAACAGGAACTGGCAAATTTTTTCTGTAAAGCACCAGATAGTAAATATTTCAGGCTTTGTAGCCAAGAGGTCACATGTTCCGCTGTTGCAGTGTGGAAAGAGCCATGGATGATGCGTTCATGAGTAAGCATGTCTATGTTTATTGACTGCACAGAACAGACACCATGAGGCCGTGGGCCGAAGTTTGCCAACCCCTGAAGAAAAAAACTAAATTGTGTTTGTCTCTTGCGCTAGATGGCAAATTCCTCCTGTGTGGAGACCCCAGGCCTCATTCACCTTTGTACTCTGGGCACTCCGTATTGTGCGTGACACGTGGCAGATGCCCACAGCTTCTTTACTGACCCCAAATGGCTCTTATGTCAGACTCTGTAGAATATCACCTTTCTTGCAAGATTTCTTGGAATTCACTGAATTAAAAGCAGCATGCTCTCTGACTTGGATGTTGAAGCCATCAGAGCAAATAGGATCAGTTGCCACCTTGTTTTACATCTACTTGTCCTTAACCAAGATGCCATGTGAAAGGCCGGCACGTCAAAAGGCCTTGTTGTGATCAGCCCTATTCAGTCTGGAGATCACACTCCCTGGGGACCAACAGTGATGGACAACTGACGGGCATCTTGTTTTGCAGAACTGGGAGTGGGTTTGCTCAGAAGCTTCTGCTGCTTTTAGTAGAATCTCCATATGCCCAGAACCTTGCACCTGGGGAGGGGCTGGCTGGTGGCATTCTAGGTAATGTCCCATCCCTCACGCAGCAGGAACATGGCGGGAGCCAGCTTCTCTGTCTCAAACACCAGCCTGTTCCTCTAAGTCAGGTTCATGATCTGCCAACTGTTTTTTCCAGGTATTAGTCACAATAGCAACTGTCATTTGTAGAGCATATTGTCTTGCGTGGATTTCAGAAAATATGTATTATCCCAACACTGATGACAAAACTGAGACACAGAAAAGTCAACTTAGTTGTGGCTTGATGTTGATGTGTAGTACGGTTTAAAAGCTTCAGGCTGGGCGCAGTGGCTCACGTCTGTAATCCCAGTGCTTTGGGAGGTGGAGGCGGGTGGGTCACCTGTTAGGAGTTTGAGACCAGCCTGGCCAACATGGCGAAAACCCTCTCTAATAAAAATACCAAAATTAGGTGTGGTGTAGCATGCCTGTGATCCTAGTTACTCGGGAGGCTGAGGCAGGAGAATTGCTTGAACCCTAGAGGTGGAGGTTGCAGTGAGCCAAGGTTACAGCTGCACTCCAGCCCAGGTGACAGAACAAGACTCCATCTCAAAATAAAAAAAAAAAAAACTTGGACTAAGTTATTTAACTCACCTTGCCTTGGTTTTCCTACCTACAAAATCGTCGTGATAAAACCCATTTTAAGGCTGGGCATGGTGGCTCATGCCTATAATCCCAGCACTTTAGGAGGCCAAGGTAGGCAGATCACCTGAGGTAAGGAGTTCAATACCAGCCTGGCCACCATGTCCTCTCTAGCTGAGGTGACACTACCACACATGGTAATAGCAGACTGAGAGGCAGAGTTTGCTTAGTGGGGAAAATCTTTACTGCGAAGTCAGTCTACCTGAATTCCATTAACCCTCGGGCAAGTCACTAACCTGAGCTTCAGTTTCCTGAACTGTAAAATGGGGATACGGAGGCTTCCCTCCTAGGGTGTGGGAGGAGAAAATGAGTTAATCAATGTATGCACAACAGTGCTTGCTAGGTGCTGTGTCCGTTATTACTACTGCGCTAAGATTACTCCCAGAGTTTACAGTGGCTTTTATGTGTGTGTGCGTGAGACAGTCTTGCTCTGTCACCCAGGCTGGAGTGAAATTATTAGTGAAACCCGTCTCTAATAAAAACACAATGATTAGCTTGGTGTGTTGGCATGCACCTGCAATCCCAGCTACTCAGGAAACTGAGGCAGGAGCATCACTTGAACCCAGGAGGTGGAGGTTGCAGTGAGCCGAGATTATGCTGCTGCACTCCAGCCTAGGCAACAGAGCAAGACTCCATTTCAGAAAAAAAAACCCAGAAGAAAAATCTGTTTTAGGGGCTAGCTGTGTGGGTCAGATGAGGGAAGGTTCAAGAAGAGCTTCCTTGCTCCACAGTAGGTACTATCCTAGTACCTGGGGCTTGGGCATATAGGTCCTCAATCAATATTGGTTGAATAGATGAGAGTTATTTGCCTAGTCACACAGGTGGTAAGAATTCAAAGCCCAGCTCTTCTGACCAGGCTAGATGGCCTTGGCATTATACCATTTAACCAAATAGGAACAGGGGCATGCTAACCATGGTATTGAGGTAGCCTTATGGCATGCAGGTGTCCACACAGGGCCAGGAAAACAGAGCTGCAGGTTTAAGCATTCACAGTTCACTTAGCCTGACCCCTCGTTGGCATTAGTACTCATGAGAGCGCTCCCAAGCTCAGTCCCTTCATCTAGGGAGCTGGAAATAGACCTCTTGGCTCCACACAAGTATAAAAAGCTTCAGTTACAGAGGAAAGTAAGTTTTTTACCTGAGAAAGAGGAGTGTTCCTCCTAAGAGCCATTGTAGCTGGGCACGGTGGCTCACACCTGTAATCCCAGCACTTTTGGAGGCGGAGGTGGGTGGATCACCTGAGGTCAGGAGTTCGAGACCAGCCTGGCCAACATGATGAAACCCTGTCTCTACTGAAAAATACACACACACAAAAATTAGCCAGGCGTGGTGGCAGGCACCTGTAGTCCCAGCTACAGCTACTCGCGAGGTTGAGGCAGAATACTGCCTGAACCCAGGAGGTTGGGGTTGCAGTGAGCTGAGATTGCGCCACTGCACTCCAGCCTGGGTGACAGAGCAAGACTCTGTCTCAAAAAAAAAAAAAAAAAAGCCATTGTAAACTCTGGCAGTAATCTTAGCACAGTAGTCATAACGGACACAGCACCTAGCAAGCACTGTTGTGCATACACTGATTAACTCATTTTCTCCTCCCACACCCTAGGAGGGAAGCCTCCGTATCCCCATTTTACAGTTCAGGAAACTGAAGCTCAGGTTGGTGACTTGCCCGAGGGTTAATGGAATTCAGGTTTTCCCCCACTAAGCAAACTCTGCCTCTCGGTCTGCTATTACCACGTGTGATGGTGTCGCCCCAGCCAGAGAGGAAGGAGAAGGAAGGAACGGGGAATCAATCAAGACTGTAGGATAAACAAAAATAGCACCAGATTGGAAGGTGCCGCTGAATGCTGGCTCTGCTTTGACCACCGAGTAGCTCATGACCCTAGGCTGGTTGCTTCTGAACGTGGCCTGGTCTCCTCTTCATTTGTAAGCATCTCTTCATCTGTGAAACAAGGAATTAATCAATCCAACGCTAACATTGTTTGGCCTTCAAACCACTGTGGGATAGGTCTCCAAAGGCGCCTCCTTGGAGACTGCCATCTGATGGCAGACCTCCTTTGCAAGTGGACTTCCCCCTGATCTTCATGTGTTAAGACCTATAAAAGACCCATGTCACCAGCTGAGGTGTCTGTCTCAGAGTGTGGGCATTCCTTCCACCACCCACATTTTGCCTGGCGAACTCTCATTCACCTATTTGTCTCTGACTTCCTCTGACCATCCAGACTCGGTTGGGTCCTTATGCTTTACATTCTTGTATCAGCATCATTTCTTTTCATAGGCTTTATGACAGCTTATAATTAAATATCCATTGACGTACCTTCTCTAGGGGCAGAGACCGTGTCTGTTTTTTCCCCATCATTGCACTGCCATTGAGACCTCAGGTGTTTGCTGTTGGTGTTTTTTTGGTGTGTGTGTGTTTTGTTTTTTTGGTGTGTGTGTGTTTTGTTTTTTTGAGACAGAATCTCATTCTTATCACCCAGGCTGGAGTACAATGGTATGATCTCTAGTCACTGCAACCTCCGCCTCCCAGGTTCAAGTGACTCTCCTGCCTCAGCCACTTGAGAAGCTAGGATTACATGCGTGTGCCACCATGCCTGGCTAATTGTTTGTATTTTTAGTAGATACAGGGTTTCACCAGGTTGGCCAGGCTGGTTTCGAACTCCTGACCTTGAATGATCCACCCATCTCAGCCTCCCAAAGTGCTGGGATTACAGGCATGAGCCACCACACCCGGCCAAGATCTCAGGTTTTTGAATGAATGAATGAATGAATGAATGTTGCCACATGTGCCATGTTAAATGTACGCCAGAAGTAGAACAGGCATGGTAATATTGGTTGGTTTTCTGGCGGGCCACATAACAGCAAATCTACGATCGCTGATTTCCAGTGCTACTTCACTGCAAGGAATTAGTATCATAAATAATTTAAAATCTAATGCGGTATTTCAGAAGTATGCTGAGATCTCACCAGAACAGTGCAAATCCCCAGAGCTAAGCCAGCTGGGAACAGCTGGTGCATTGCTTCTAGGTTAGCCTAGTTAATTGTCAAAAGTTACCTGTTTTCAAGGCTAGAGTACATTTTCAATAACGGTGCTCCTGCCGATCAAGGCTAAAGTCAGAAATAAATCAGCCCGCTTATATCCTACAGCAATGTAGCATTTCCTGCCCCACCAACAGTGCCTAGAAAACCTGCGTCATAATAATTCTCAGTAGGTATTTGAATAAATGAGACTCTTTAACACTGCCATTAGATACTTCCTCTGCGCAGCAGAAGAGCTGTCACAAAGCTCATAGACACCACAAGGAGTCCTCAGGGACAAACATATTGTCTTTCAGGATGATTTTAAAAATTAGGCTGAAATCAGTGGCTCACATCGGTAATCCACGCACTTTAGAAGGCTGAGGCAATAGGATCACTTGAGTCTAGGAGTTCAAAATCAGCCTGGGCAACATTGTGAGACCCTGGCTCTAAAAAATATTTTAAAACTAGCTGGGCATGGTGGCACGCACCTGTAGTTTGAGCTACTTTGGAGGCTGAGGTGGGAGAATTGCTTGAGCCCAGGAGGTTGAGGCTGCAATGAGCTGTGATTGCACCACTGCACTCCAGCCTGAGTGACAGAGCAAGACCCTGTCTCAAAACTAAAAAACCTGACATTTGTTTTCTTAGTCCGTTGAATACTGGAATAAAGATGGTGTGGGGTAGGAGGGTGTACACAAAGGACAGAGGAGGGCAAGTGAAATCAGCTCACTGAGAGCTGCAAGAGGTGAGGTGATGATTGTTGGTTAAAAACTTCAGGCTGGGCATGGTGGCTCATGCCTGTAATCCTATAATAGCACTTTGGGAGGCCGAGGTGGGCAGATCGCATGAACCTAGGAGTTCAAGACCAGCCTGGGTGACATGGCAAATCCTCGTTTCTACAAATAAAAAAATTACCCAAGTGTGGCAGTGTAGTCTCACCTATTTATGCTTGTAGTCCCTGCCACTTGGAAGGCTTAGGTGGGAGGGTCACCTGAGCCCAGGGACGTCGAGGCTGCAGTGAGCAGTGATCACGCCACTCACTCCAGCCTGGACAGCCACAGAATGAGATCAGTCAAAAAAAATTTTTTTTTCTTCATGGAAAAACACAGATATTCTGGTACCATTCCAAATAGAGGCAAGCAGTTTCCTTCTATAGCACAAAGCGGCAATTAAAATATTTGATGTTTGTGATGATACTGGGTCATCAAAAGGGTTAGCTGTATTAGCAATACTGTATTTAATTTTGAAAAGGCGAAATATACAAAACTATATTTAATTGAGCTCCTTATTGTTTACAGGAGAGGTTGAAAAAGAAACCTTAGGTCACTAAAAAGAAACTTTTAGCTCCATAAAAGTTATCCATCATCTATCAAAAACCAACAACACATATAAAAATGTAAAACATTAAAATGATAAAATAGAATAAGGATTGCCACCATCAGCTGTGTTCTGGAAGATGGTTCTGGAGATTCAAGCCAATGCAATCATTTACAAAAAAAAGAAACAAGTGGTATAAATATCGGAAAGGACCAAAGCTGCTGTTATTGCAGATGTCTTAGCCAGAAAATTCTAGAAATCAGCTGGGCATGGTGGCTTACACCTGTAATCTTAGCACTTTGAGAGGCTGAGGTGGGCAGATCACCTGAGGTCAGGAGTTCACGACCAGCCCAACCAACATGGTGAAACTCCGTCTCTACTAAAAGTACAAAATTAGCTGGGCGTGGTAGCCTAGGCCTGTAATCCCAGCTACTTGGGAGGCTGAGGCAGAAGGATCACTTGAACCCAGGGGACAGGTTGCAGTGAGCCGAGATTGTGCCATTGCACTGCAGCCTGGGCAACAAGAGTGAAACTGCATCTCAAAAAGAAAAAGAAAGAAAATTCTAGAAATCAACTGACATCACGTAGGGTGGTCAAATACCTGTAGACCCAAAAGACTTGTGACAAACAGCAGTTCTCACTCCCTTAACTCCCCGTGTGTCTCCACAGAGACAGCTATTCCGGCTTTACCCACATCTGTAGTTATAATATGCAAGCTGCCATCTTCTGATTCAATTCTGAATGTTAACTAGTCACTTCTTGTTACCTTCTCTTAGCTTGGGCCACCATAACAAAATACCAGAGACTCATAGACTAGGTGGCTTAAACAACAGGAATTTACTTCTCACAGTGCTGTAGACAGAGTCTAAGATTAAGGTGTCAGCAGGGTAGGTGTCTGCTCGGGGCCCTCTGCTTTGGTTCCAGACAGCCCCCTTCTTGCTGTGTCCTTACATGGCCTCTCTCTGGTGCACATTGGTGGAGAAAGTGTGACAGGAAGCTCTCTGGTACCCCTTTTCATAAGGACATGAATCTCATCATGAGAGCCCCCACCCTCATGACTGCGTCTAAACCTTATTACCTACCAAAGGCCCTACCTCCTGATACCATCACACTGGGATTTAGGGGTTCGACATGTGGGTTTGGGAAGCACCCAGTTTGGTCTGTGGCACCAGCTACATGATTGAAGTTTTCTTTCTCCATGTTCTAATTCTTTTGTTTCTTTTTTTGAGACAGGGTCTCACTCTGTCATCCAAGCTAAAATGCAGTGGCACAGTCACAGTGCATTGCAGCCTCAGCCTCCTGGGCTCAAGCAATTTCCCCACCTCAGGTTCGTGAGTAGCTGGGACTACAGGCGTGCACCACCGTGCCTGGCTTGCTTGCTTATTTATTTAACATAGAGACAGAGTCTTCCTGTGTTGCCCAGACTGGTCTTGAACTTTTGGGCTTAATCAGTCCTCCCACCTCAGCCATCAAAAGTGCTGGGATTCCAAGGGTATGAGCCACGTCCTCGGTCTATAATTAGTTTATGATTTAAGTCAATAATCTGTGTGTATTATCCTTACATAAATATTAGCTAGAGCTGAATGCTGTAGTGAACAATGATTTATTTTGGTTTTTACTAAGGTTAATAATAGTGAGTTTGTTTTGGTTTTTTGCTTAGTTTTTGTTTGTTTTTTGTTTATGCTTGAGTTCTCTCTTTATATAGACCTTGGTTCTAGAAACAATTCACCTGCAGCTGACTGGCCAGACCAGCACACCCTGATGGGCTGTACTTTGGCCACCTCCAGCACAGCACTCAGCTGTGACACCAAAATAAGTTAGATCCGGCCGTGTGGGGCGGAGCAGGGACGGGGCTATGCAGGTGCCACGGGGCTCGGGGCCTCAAGACTGTTGAAGGCCAGGCTTTGTAGCGAATTTTGTCTCACATCTTTTCCAATTGCTTCTCAGGGAAGTTTCTCAGAAGGCCAATCTCGTCACGTAATCAGAGTCCCCATTTGGATCTTGGATCTGTTTCTCCAGGGGTCTTCCCTTCACTGTCATCTGTGGAATTCCTTTTGCCCGTCTGTTGGGTTGAATTTGTTTTGTTCTCTTTCTTGCTTTTCTCCCTCATTTTGGTGGAGCAAGTTCCCTAATAGCTTCAACTGATAAAAAAGAAAGTGAAATGGGCCGGGCGAGGTGGCTGATGCCTGTAATCCCAGCACTTTGGGAGGCTGAGGCGGGCAGATCACGAGGTCAAGATATCAAGACCATCCAGGCCAACATGGTGAAACCCCGTCTCTACTAAAAAAAAAAAAAAAACACAAAAATTAGCTGGGCATGGTGATGTGCACCTGTAGTCCCAGCTACTCTGGAGGCTGAGGCAGGAGAATTGCTTGAACCCGGGAGGCAGAGGTTGCAGTGAGCCGAGATCACGCCACTGTACTCCAGCCTGGCGCCTGGCGACAGAGCCAAGACTCTGTCTTGAAAAAAAAAAAAAAGAAAGTGAAATGACATCAGGCATGGTGACGAGAGCCTTTAACATGGCTTGGCTGTCTTGAGTCACTCTGCTCCAATCTGGTTCCTTCTATGTCTGAGGCACCTATCTTGCTTGGATTTCCCTTCATCATGGAGATGACCTTCACCTCTTTCTGTGGTTCTCTTGTTAGTTTATCCCATGCCACCTTTTTGAAAGTTTATGCTCTCATTTCAGTGAGTCATATCCTTCCATAGATTCCTAAGAGTAGATGGAAGATAAATTTTTTTGACATTACATATCTGAAAAAAAACATATTCTCCACTTGCGCTTGATAATTTTTACCAGGTAATTTCTAGATCAAAAATAATTTTCTTTCAGAAATTTGAAATCATTGGTCATTGTCTTCTAACATTCTATTTACTTTTAGAAAAGATTAAAAGCCATTCTTGTTTCTGCCTCTTGTAGGCAACCTGTTTGTTCTCTGGGGGTTTAAAGAACCTTCTCTTTGTACCTGATGTTCTGAAATTTCATGATGTACCTTCATTTGGGTCTATTTCATCCACAGTGCTGGATACTTAGAGGAGTCTTTTTACATAGAAATTCACATCCATAAATTCTGAGTTTTCTTGAGTAGCTGATTTCTTTCCCTCCATTTTCTTCACTCTCTGTTCCTGGAATTTGTTTGTTTTTAAGACAAGGTCTGGCTCTGATCTCAGCTCACTGCAGCCTTGACCTCCCCGGCTCAAGCAATCCTCCTACCTCAGCCTCCCAAGTAGCTGACTACAGACATGTGCCTTCACGCCCAGCTAACTTTTGTATTTTTTTGGTAGAGACGGGGTTTTGCCATGTTGCCCAGGCTGATTTTGAACTCCTGGGCTCAAGCAGTCCATCCACTTCGGCCTCCGAAAGTGCTGGAATTACAGGCATGAGCCACCTCACCTGGCCCCTGGAACTTATTAATCAGATGTTTGACCTTCTGAGCCCTTCCGCTAACTTTTTCACTTTACCTCACCTGTTTTTTTCTTTTCGTTGTTATCTTTTCTAGGAGGTTTTCTCGATTTTATCATGTAACATTTCTGTTGAGTTTTTAATTTCTACTATTCTGTTTTTAATTTCAAAAACTATTTTTATTTTGAAGGACTACTTTTGTCTCCTCCTTGCAACCTCCTGTTTCTTTTTCACTTTCGTGATGTCTTTTCTCTCTAGGATACTGATGATTTTGGAGTGGAAGGTGTTTTCTTCTACCGTTTCAAAGTTTCTTTCTTCCAGTTTGTCTTTTGGTTTTTGCTTTCTATTTATATAGACATATGGAAGGCTTTGCTTCTAGAGTGCAAAGCTGCCTGGATGCCCTTAGCATGTGGATGGGGCTTATGAACCTTGAACTTCATTGAAGCTTGACCTGGCTGGGCTGCGTGTTGGGGAATCCCCCAAGTCAGTATCTTTGTCTTTTTTCTTATGCTGGTGAAGATCTGACTGCCAGTATTCTTAGAACCCAGCAGAGGGAAAGGCTAGGGATTGGACAGATGAGGAGGTCTTCATATTGAATACTTAATCATTTAAGCCCCTTGTTTTCACTATAATGTTCAAGCCCTGTGTCCCTCAATCCAGATACTATTTCGTTTTACCTTCTTTACAGTGTTTCTCAATCAGAAGTAATTTTGCCTCCCAAAGAATATTTGGCAATATCCAGAGACACTTTCGATTGCCATTTTCAGTTGCCACTAAGAGTGGGTAGGTGGAGCACAACTGCTGGCATCAAGTAAGTAGAGGACAGAGAAAGTGCTGTGCACATCCTACAGTGCACAGGGGAGCCCTCCGCATCAAGAATCGTATTGGCCCAGGCAGAGCATGGTGGCTCACACCTGTAATCCCAGCACTTTGGGAGCCCACGGCAGGCAGATCAGTTGAAATCAGGAGTTCGAGACAAGCCTGGCCAACATGTTGAAACCCCATCTCTACTAAAAATACAAAAATTAGCTGGGTGTAGTGGCACACCCCTGTAATCCCAGTTACTCAGGAGGCTGAAGCAGGAGAATCACTTGAACCTGGGAGGCGGAGGTTGCGGTAAGCCAAGATCACGCCACTGCACTCCAGCCTGGGCAACAGAGCGAGACTCCATCTAAAAAAAAAAATTATTGGCCCAAAATGTCGATATACCTGAGGTTGGGGAATCCTAATCTGGAGAATAAACTTTCACGCTAACGATGGAAGCGGGGTAGTCACCCAGCAGCTTGCAGTAGAGCAGAAGGTAAGGACCTAGCGACTTTCTTTTTTTTTTTTTTGAGACGGAGTTTCACTCTTGTTACCCAGGCTGGAGTGCAATGGCACAATCTTGGCTCACCGCAACCTCCACCTCCTGGGTTCAGGCAATTCTCCTGCTTCAGCCTCCTGAGTAGCTGGGATTACAGGCACGCACCACCATGTCCAGCTAATTTTTTGTATTTTTAGTAGAGACGGGGTTTCACCATGTTGACCAGGATGGTCTCAATCTCGACCTCGTGATCCACCCGCCTTGGCCTCCCAAAGTGCTGGGATTACAGGCTTGAGCCACCGCGCCCGGCCGGACCTAGTGACTTTCAAACAGCTTCCCACCAATCGTCCTTATTTTAGCCGCTCCTCTCCCGCCTCCAACCTTTGCTTCCTGTCCTAGAGCTACCTGAGTCTTTCCAGACTGCGGTGAAGTTGGTTTGTTTCTTGACTTACCTGTTAACCACCTTAGAACTCAGCTTTCTCGGGGTCGTTAAGTGAGTTATCCATCGTTCATATGTGTTCTAAGCTTCTAAAAATGGTACGGTTGTCTCTTTTCCTATTCAACCCATCCTCTTGAAAATTTTAGAAGGGTTTCTGGAGGGAGAAAAATTGGGTGTTCAGTCTGCTATACTTTCCCAGAATGCTAAAACACATGAAATACATGTTGAAGCTACAGTCATTGGCACTGACACAGCAGATGAACATGGGTGAACAGAATGAAATAAAGATTCCAGAAACTGCCACAATATATGGGAAGTCACTGACAAGTGCTATTAGGTCAACTGTCTATCTGCTAGAAAAAAAATAAAATTTGCCTTTCTTTACCCCATATATAGAACTCAACACTAGTTGGATTAAAGATGTAAGCTTATATACAAAGCTATAAAAATATAGGAGAATGTTTTCATAATCTTGTGCTGAGGATGACCTTGCTTCAGAAGGTAGAAATAGGCCGGGAGCAGTGGCTCAGGCCTGTAATCCCAGCACTTTGGGAGGCCAAGGCGGGTGGATCCCTGAGGTCAGGAGTTCAAGACCAGCCTGACTAACATGGTGAAACTCCATCTCTGCTAAATACAAAAAATTAGCCAGGCAGGGTGACACATGCCTGTAATCTCAGCTACTTGGGAGGCTGAGGCAGGAGAATTGCTTGAACCCGGGAGGCAGAGGTTGCAGTGAGCTGAGATCGTGCCATTGCACTCCAGCATGGGCAATAAGAGCAAAACTCTGCCTCAAATTTAAAAAAAGAAGGTAGAAATAAAAGAGTTAAAGAATAACCAACTATGTCAGCCAGGCATGATGGTTCACCCCTGTAATCTCAGCACTTTGGGAGGCCACAGCAGGAGCATCACTTGAGCCCAGGAGTTTGAGACCAGACTGGGCAACATAGCGAGACCTCACCACTACAAAGAAACAAAAATCAAAAAATTAGCCAGATGTGGTGCATTCCTGTAACTCCAGCTATTCAGGAAGCTGAGGTGAAAAGATCACTTGATCCCAGGAGGTAGAGGCTGCAGTGACCCTTGATCGTACCACTGCACTCCAGAGTGGACAACAGAGCGAGACCCTGTCTCAAAAACAAAAATAAATTAGTAAACACTTAAACCTTCAAAGACTCTGACTTTGAAAAATAAAACTGGATGGGGAAAATATTTGCCACATATATAGCTGGTTACCATCTCTCTTTTGTGAAGATCTCTACAAATCAGAAAGTGACTTTTAAAAATCTGGCCAGGCACAGTGGCTTATGCCAGTAATCCCAGCACTTTGAGAGGCTGAGGCAGGCAGATCACTTGCGGTCAGGAGTTCAAGACCAGCCCTGCCAACATGGTGAAAGCCTGTCTCTACTAAAAATACAAAAAATCAGCGGGGCATGGTTGTGCACGGCTGTAATTCCAGTAACACAGGAGGCTGCAGCATGAGAATCGATGAGAATCGCTTGAACCTGGGAGGCAGAGGTTGCAGTGAGCCAAGATTGCATCACTGCACTCCAGCCTGGGTGATGGAATGAGACTTTAACACACACACACACACACACACACACACACACACACAAAACTATCGCAGCCGGGCGCGGTGGCTCAAGCCTGTAATCCCAGCACTTTAGGAGGCTGAGGCAGGAGAATTGCCTGAACCCAGGAGGCGGAGGTTGCGGTGAGCCGAGATCGTGCCATTGCACTCCAGCCTGGGTAACAAGAGTGGAAATAAGACTTAAAAAAAAAAAAAAAAAAACAAAAAAAAAAAACTATCAAGAAATAAGGGGAGAACTCTTAAGTGGTTGATAAGCATTCAAAAAAATGCTCTACTGTCCTCAACATTGATGAAGAAAAATGCAAATTAAAGTAGAAACAAGATGCTGTTCATCAGTGGTTCTTCATGTGCAGTCCCTGGGCCAGCAGCATCAGCATCACCTGAGAACTTGTTAGAAATGCAGATTCTCAGATCCATCCTAAACCTGAATCACAGGCTTGTTTCAGCAAGCCCTCTAGGTGATTCTCATGGTCAAATATGAGAATCAACCAGGAGAAAGAAGGAACTGCATTCGGTGTTGCAGAGGGCTCTCTCACAGTATTGAGCAAGAGATATCAGATGTAAGACTGAATACTGTAGGTCCATTTATATGGAGATCAAAAGCAGGAGCTAATCTAGAATGATAGCGATCAGGGCAATTGTCACCTTTAGTGGAGAGGAGTAACTAGAAGTGGGGGTAAGGTTTTCAGGTGCTGGCAGTATTCTGTTTCTTGATTTGGGTGCTGGTTACACAGGTTTGTTCACTTAATGAAAATTCCTCAAGCTGTTCGCTTAGGATTTGCATACGTTATGCTGTATTTCAGTACAGCAGTGAAAGGTAAAACATGGGTTCTGTTTTTTTTTTTAAACAGGTTTTTAGCCATTTAAAACATGGAAATTTAGTCTGGTGAAGGTGGAAAAGCATGCATATACTGATAGAAGAGAGTAAATTAGTACAGGTTTGGGTTTATTTTTTGTTTTTTTGAGACAGAGTCTCACTCTGTCACCCAGGCTGGAGCATGTGGTGTGATCTCAGCTCACTGCAACCTCCGCCTCCCCAGTTCAAACGATTCTCCTGCCTCAGCCTCCCTAGTAGCTGAGGTTACGGGCACACACCACGCCCAGCTAATTTTTGTATTTTTAGGAGAGACCGGTTTTCACCATGTTAGCCAGGCTGGTCTCAAACTCCTGGCGTCAAGTGATCCGTCCGTCTCAGCCACCCAAAATGCTGGGATTATAGGCCTGAGCCACCATCTTTGGTCAATAAATTAGTACAAGCTTTTCCGAACAATTTGGTAGCACCTCTAAAGCTTAAAATATGTATTCTAGAAATTTTCCTCCTAGAAATCTGTCCTGGAATTCAGGTATACAGAGGCATATGTTATAAAAATGTTTCCGGGCGTTTTTGTACAAACATAAGACAACCTAAATTTCCATCAATCGGGGACTGGTTACATGAATTATGGAAAACTGAGTAACTGTTAAAATTGGCAGAGATCCGTGTGGAGTAGTGTGGAAGGCTGTCCTCCATGGTATGATTTACTGAAAGAAGCAAGTTTTAGGTCCGGTTAACAGAGTGATCCATATTTATAAGGGAGAAAGAAAAAGGTGTGCAGGAGGTGGTTATAAATGCAAGGGAAGAGGCTAAAAAGAGTAAATACAAAATTGGTTATGTTGGTTTTTCTTGAGTTTTTATCACTGGTGGATAGGGATGGGGATTCTCATTTCTTTGTATATTTCTGTGTTCATTTTTCACCTGCATTTATCACTTTGAAATATTTTAAAAGTCTTAGTTTTGCCATCCAAAAAAAAAAGTCTTAGCCTAAAAAAATGTTTATCAGGGAAAACAAACAGTATTTTTGTAGTCTAAGCAATAAAGATTCGGGTTTATCTGAAACGCAAAGCAGATGATGAATAACGTTTTTGAAGAGTGATTTTTATCAGCATTGGTTATCATGCGAGATAAAAGGTTTGCTTCTAGATATATTTCAGTTACCTAGGAATTCACTTGGGTAGAACAATGCTTTTCTTGACAGAGACATTCTATTACTTTGTTTGCTGGTGAGGTCATGGGTCAGGTATTCCTGTTCTTTGCAAGGTGGCTCGGTTAACAATATTGTGCCTTTGTGTAAAAGATGACAACAGCCAGCCAACTAGACAGTGCAGTCCTGGACAGCAGGCTTCACTCGCATTAATAATAAAAAACGTTTTTTCATTCAGAGCCCAGAGCTGTCAGTTGAGCCTGTTTAGCTGGCCACAGACGTGATGGAAACCCTTAAGCCCTGGTGATCCCATAGAGACAACATCAACACATCTGTAGCGCCTCTCCACTCATTGTTATGTTTCCCATGGGAATCATCCACAAAGGGCTGCTCTGACCCTCAAGAAGCCTGAAATGTTTTCCATGCTGTCATGTCAGATTACTTTGATTTACCAGTCTTACTGATCCAACAGAATGTCAAACACATGTGTATAGATTACCTGTCAGGATCAATTCAGGCCCAGAAACCTCATTCATATGAGGCTTAGCACTTTCTGGAATTATATCCCGTTTTGTGTATCTACACTTTCAATAAGAGTTGTTGTCAGCGATGTAACCACAAAAGCACATCTCCATGAAGCATCTTGTCTCTGGAATTCATATACTAATATCAATCAGATATAGGAATGTTGATGCTCAACTCTAAAGAGCAGAAACAGCAACATTCAGAGTCTTACCTGCTCCCCAGCACAGGCACCCAAACTATGCCAGGGAAGTGCTTCTCGCGGGAAGCAGTTTAACATGTCTCTTGGAAACCTGTCTGATGTCTTCAAGGTCATCACGGGAAGTCTTCCTTCTTAAAGAAGGGCTTAAGTCTTCTCTCTTCAACATCCACCTCTTCAAAACCCTGTTTGAAGGTCTCCGACTACCTCAAACTGCTTGGGTTGAAAATTCAACTCACAACAGCGCTCCCTTAACCTGTTCCTCTTCCATCGTCCCAACAGAACAAGTCAAACCCTAATCTACTTCAGAAAACTTTCTAGAGAGCTGGGGATCATTCCATTTTATGTTCTCCCTTTTCCTCCTCTGACCCAATATCTAATCCATTAAAGTCCCATCTGCTGAAATTTGTCTTAAATTCATTCACGTCTCAATATTCGCTGCCACCATATTGGTCTTGAAGACTCATATTCTCCCGCTTGGATTATTGCACAGTCTGAACTTGTCTCCCACACTGCTCCCCCTTACCCCTCCACATGTCCATTCTCTACCCACAGCCAGAGTGCCCTTATTAAAAAAAAACCTAGCCTAATCTTAACATTCTCTTGCTTAAAACCCTCCCACTGCCCTTCGGATAAAGCACAAAATCCCTAGACCTCCTGCGCTCATATCATCTGACCTTCCCCAACTCTCTTAACATTTTACACCAATATCCTACCTTACTAGACGTTCTTACAGGTTCTAGAAGGTAGCAGAGCCCTTCCCACCATCAGACCTCTGCCCACGCTGTGTTCTCTGCCTACAGCGTTGGCTTCCCGCCTCTGTCTTGCCAGTGCTTTCACTCAGCCTTAAGGTTATTCTTCAGCCTGGATTTCCCCGACGCTTCCCACGCCTGCCAACAAGGTTATTCCCCCATCACAGACCCTTATCACACCCTCTACCTTCTTCATAACATTTGCAACCGTTGTAATTGCTCAGATATTTCTCCCCACTAGACTTTACTTCTGTACAAGCAGGATCTGTTCAGTTTGAATACCACTGTCCTTGCGGCCCGAGAGCAGGAAGCCTGGCATATTGTAGGCGCTCCTGTGTGAAACAAATGAAATCTGTCTTCCGAGCCTGGTGATTAGAGTATTTTGTTTCATATACCACAAAGAAAGCGAAAACAGAAATGAAATTCTTTGTCCTGAGTCACACGGCGAGCCAGGACTTGCAGGGCGAGAGCCCACCCTGGAGTCCCGTTGCTGTGTCCTGGGGATGTGGTTCACTTCTGAACTTTTTCATGACTTAGGAATAAAGTCCACCTGGAAGGTGCTAGAATGTGAGTGCCTACCTTGTTCCAGGACTCAACACACCTACAGTTTAGGTCAGTTTGTTTTTCCTTGATGAAGTCTTTCATGAGTCCATGAGTGGCATTAATTTGGCTTGGGGATGGTCATGCTCGTCAGCAGTGGGGAAGGGTTGGGTGACTATTGCTGGGATAAATGCATGCTTGTAAAATGCTGAGTGTCTCCATCTGCACTGGGCCTTCGCTCATTCTCTCTTCCGAAAGCTCTCTCAGACCGCGTGTCACTGGCCATCTGTGAGAACAGCAGGGAATGCCCGGAGGTTCATCCCCTGAGAGCAGCTCAGCTCCAGGGACCACCTCTAAGTGCACCTGCAGCCTTGCTTCCTTGACAAGTATCAGCCTGGGAGCAAATTCCAGCCATGGATGTTGTTTTTCGCCAAGTGGTGTTTTAAAACTCCTGATTAGTGCTAATATTTAAAACCAAGATTATTATGCACAAGCTTGAGTTTCTGTATTCTCCTGGAGGGAGAAGAAAAGACCTGGCAAAACCAGCCCACAACAATCAGCTAGAGCTGAGTTTTAAGAGTACCCCCTAAAACAAGGTGTTATCGGTCCCTGCCTGGCCTGCCATGGTTACCTTCCTGGCATTTGCAGGCACATGAGTTTGCAAACCCTGTATGTTTAAGTCATGGCAGGGGAAGGTGGGGGTACATGCATGAACGTTGTAATTGACATTCTGTATAATTATTTTTTTCCTTTATCTTCTTTCCTCTCTTCTCTCCACTGCTTCTACCACTTCACAGGTTCTGGGGCTGCTGGTATGGACACTGATCGCCGGAACTGAGTACTTCCGGGTCCCAGCATTTGGCTGGGTCATGTTTGTAGCTGTATTTTACTGGGTCCTCACCGTCTTCTTCCTCATTATCTACATAACAATGACCTACACCAGGATTCCTCAGGTGCCCTGGACAACAGTGGTAAGGAAGCCATGGGTGGTGGTCTTGTCCAGTGCCCACTAGGTAGGATGTCAAGAGTCCTCCTGGAGTAGTCAATTCAAGACTCTCTCTCTGCCCAAAAAAGGTGGCCCATACCGTGCAGAACCCAACACAGCAGTTAGTCTCAGCAACATCTAATTGCCTTTCAAGTGGCTTACACCTGGGTGTGAAACTGGGCATGTTAGAAGGTCCAGAAATTCGTTTTAGGCAAAATTACAAACCAAGTCTCAGAAGACTGAATCAAGAAAAGCCAGGTTCTCTCCTGTAGACTCTCATTATTTCCCTGTGAACAGTGTCACCTGGAAATAAATGTCAGGATCCCATCCTCTGCAGATTGTGCTTCCTGCAAACCTCTCCTGGGGCTGTGGACTTAACCCTTTGTACCTCACAGCTCTTTGATGTCAGAGTACATAGTGTACAGAGTTAGAATGCAAATGAAAACTGCTATTAGAACAATAGGTGTTCTTATATATTTGAAAGAGAGAATAGTCAGGGATGACTGGGTTCTCCTTCTGGCTCTGGCACCATCCTGAATGCAGGAAGGTGAACCTACGGTCCAGGAGAAATAGATAAGAACGTGAGTAGATACGCAACCCTGTGTCCTAAGTGTAAGGGAGGCTGCCACCTCAGCTTAGGATGGCTGGGAACTCTTCAGAGGGGAAGTGACATTTAGCTTCACCCTGGAGATCAAACACACACATCCTAAGTGAACTCACAGGAATAGAAGGTGGGTTCCCCTTGCCTTAGGGCATTGACAGTCTTGTTGGGAAATTCAAAGTAGGTATATGATTTACAAACAAAATCCCAGTGACACCACGTGTTTATGTAGAAAGCAGAGCTTTTCGGCCGGGCGCGGTGGCTCAAGCCTGTAATCCCAGCACTTTGGGAGGCCGAGGCGGGTGGATCACAAGGTCAAGAGATCGAGACCATCCTGGTCAACATGGTGAAACCCCGTCTCTACTAAAAATACAAAAAATTAGCTGGGCATGGTGGCGCGTGCCTGTAATCCCAGCTACTCAGGAGGCTGAGGCAGGAGAATTGCCTGAACCCAGGAGACGGAGGTTGCGGTGAGCCGAGATCGCGCCATTGCACTCCAGCCTGGGTAACAAGAGCGAAACTCTGTCTCCAAAAAAAAAAAAAGAAAGCAGAGCTTTTCAGTGATACTATTGTCTGTTTTCAACCAAGATGTGAGAAAAAAATATTTAGTTCCAAAAAACTGACTTATGGACTAAATTTGAAATCTAGTCTATTTGTGGTTGTGAGGTAAGTTGGCGGACTTTCAGACGGCACTGTCATTGTCCAACCTGCACCTGGCTTCTTTCTGTGTTGCCTTCAGAGCTAAGTCAAGTCCCCCAAGAAAACAAGTCTCAGTTCCTTTCACAGAGCAGACTGACTGACTCCTAACCATTTCCCCAAATCCAAAAGTAAGGACTCTTTATTAAGGTTTTCAAGAAAGTGTGGCAAGTTTGAAAAGTAATTCCAAATATGGTGCTTATCACTGTCTAGGTAGCGGAAGCAGCCTTGTTCGAATTGGTATTTTCCTGCCTCAGCTGGGCATCAGGAGGGAAAGACTCGTTTAGATGCTGGATTCAAAAAAAAAAAAATCAGCACCTTGAGGTAATAGTAACTATAGGAACACAGGATGAGGGAATAATCAAAGTTGGAATTTAAGGAATGCCATTTTGGAGAAAGTTGTGTCCTAGGATGGGTCTTGAAAAATGTGCCTGTGAACTTGGACGAAGAGGAACTTGGACAGCGTAGTAGGGGAGCAAATTGTTGTGGAAGAATGGACAGTAGCCTTATTTCCCTGTTGCCTGAGTCCCAATTTCTAGTTATGTTATCTAGATCAGCAATTGGCATGCTCTCTCTGTAAGGGACCAGATAGCAAGTATTGTAATATTCTTTTTTTTTTTTTTTTTTTTTTTTTT